CTTTCTCGGACATAGCAGCGCGGTATTTCCGCGCTGCGCCGCGCGCCGCGACGCTACGCGAGCCTGCGTCCCGGAGCCGACGCCCGCGCCTTGGTCGTCAGCGAGCGCGTCGAGTGCGTTCTAATCTCGTCGAACGGGGCGGAGACTGGAGGGCGCTGCTCCGCTGGGGTCTCTCTCACTCGCACCGCCATTCCGTCTGGGATCACAACAACAGGGGGCTGATGCGGGGGAGCAAGTCATCGTTCTGCCTCGCGGACGCGGAGACTTCTTCCAAAGTCAGAGCGACCAGGGCGGGGGTTCTGCGCGGCCATGACAAGCGACGCGACGCGACGCACGCGACCCCGTGTCGCGAAAGTGGGGTCGCAATCCCCCGTCGGGAGCACGGGCGTCGTCCGCCCGCCCACCCGCGGGGGACTTCCGGCGCGCCGCGCGCATGCCCGACTTAGCGAGCGCGACAGAACACGACACGTGGAGGGGGGCACGCTCGTGCCCGCGATCCATTGTCACCGCGAGGTCGTGCTTTACGAGAGTGCGGTCGTTGGTCCCGGGAGGCTCGTCGGCAGAGCGGGACGCGGGGACGCGGGGCATGGCGAGAAGCAGCGACCCAGCGGGAGAACTTCCGTCCGCACCGAGTGCGCCGAGCGCATTGTGGATTCGCGAGCGGACGCTGTGGGCCTGTGGTGCAAGGCCTGGATGTGCGGGGCGTTCTCGTAATTCGGGAGTAGGGCGGTGTGTATTCAGCTGGACTCTAGACCTCCGCCGGCACCCGCAGACCTCAAGCGGGCTCCACTGTCCAGGCCGTCACGCACATGTAGGACGCGTAGCGGAGGATCGCGTTGCCTATATGCTGCACGAAGTACAGCCTCGTCCGGAGATAACCTGCGTCTGCGAACAGAGTCATGGTTGGCGCGCTCTCAGGTGCGTGAATACCAGCATAGAAGGCGTTGTCCTTCATATCCAACGCCCTTGAACCTACAGCACCGTTGTGCGTGTTCCCTTTCCGAGTCCAGCTGGAACACCAGAACACAAAATGCGTGCACTTAGTCGAGACCCTGCTTCGGCGGCAAGTGTCCCAGAAGTCCAATAGTCCGACAACAGCTTTTCCGGACCCTCGCCGTGCCGTGATAAACGCCTGTTTCCCGCTAAAGACGACTCAACGCCCTCTTTGACAGAGTCCCGTCTGTAACCACATGCTAACAGGAACCAACAATGGGGTTCCACTCCACGTTCCCGGAAGGCGCTCCCTATAAGGCCAGCTGACCCCGCCTTCTGCACTGAACTTTCGCGGGCGAGCGATCGGTCGAAGAACGCCACGACCGTTCTCAGGCTTGTCGTCGACGCGAGTGCGTGCGGCGTGGCCTCTCCAGAGGGTCGGGACATGAACTGCGCGGAAGGCGAGTCCGCCCGCCGTCTCGTGCATGCGCCGATTAAGAGGCACCGCACGAGGCGGCGGGCGGGCGCGGGTGTCAAAGAGGGCGCGACTGCACAGGGACGGGGTGCTTGGCGATTGCGCGAGGCGGTACGGCAACAGCGAGAGCGTGACGGCCATCGCCGCACACTACGGTCCGAAGGCGCAGCGAGGCTTTGGGAAGGCGTTTGAGGGTCGCACGGCGGGAGAAGACGAAGGGCACATGAACGTCGGCTGTGTGCGTTCGGGGGACCGGGAGATGCACCGACGGAGCAGATCTCGGGTAGAGACGTGCTCTGTGGGCGATCGTCATCCGTGTCATGTGTGCGAGAAGATGTCCGTCGTGGCAGCTGGCGGTTATGACTGCCAAGATGGAAGTCATCCGTCTCTACGCATGCCATATTCGTCACTTGAGGCAGTACCGCGCATGCAAGATGCGATACGGCCATGACAGACGGGATTCAGTTTGGCTCGTCCCAGGGGCCCGCCGGTGCGATGTGGTCGCTTGCCGAGGCTTACTATCTACATCGCATGTCTTTGCACCTCAAGAATGTATCAAAGCACATTAGGTGACGAGAGGTGGATCACCGCACCTGTTACCACTCTTTGGTTCCACACGCGAACATGTGCATGTCGTAGATCAGGAAGTTTTGTTTGAAGAATACGACACCGGCGGGTTAGTAGCGCCGGTGAATGCTCAACGTTCGACTCCCTGCTTACCTGTGAGAGGGGTGAGAGGGGTTAGCCGCTAGAGTGAGCAAGAACAAGTTGTTACCGACATAACTTAAGTCAAGGTCACCGTGGTTGCTCTTCGAGAGTCGAAACAAGTGACGCGTCGATGTCGCCATGAATGAGCGTCAAAAACATGCCAACCTTCCTGGACGTTGGTTCGAACCTCGATCTCCGTAACAGTTTCTTGTAACTTTACATCGCGGCCGCAGCGAGCACGAAATTGCTTATTTGCACCGCGAATAAGTCTACCAAATTTAGCAATTTAATTGCGCCTGCACTGAAACATTAAGGCGAGTTCGTCCAATCCATCGACAATAATTGGCGTCGCCCGCCACTACGAATGGATTTCATTCAACAGAGTGGGCCGGGGAGAGAGGGAGAGGGAGCTCGGGCGCGCCGTCAGCACAACCAAGCGCACTGAGCGTGCGCATGTAGCGACACCTGTCGAAATAGAACTCTGTGTCTCTGTTATCAGCGTATGCTCATAACGCAGGGTAGAACGTACCGTCAAAACTCATGCTCGCGTCAAAGCCTTCGCTCTCGACTATGTCTCGAGCTCTCTCCCCGTCCTCTCCCCAGATCTCCACCATCTTCGCTGGCGCCGCCTGTCTGTCAACGATCCACCACCTTTGCTCCCGGGTCATGTCCGTCTCGCCCATCTCTCTCAGCGTCTTCCCTGCTTCTGACTCTTCGAGGTCGACCAGATCTTTCTTGTTGAAGCCTTCCCATCCCTTCTTTCCCCGGTCCGGATGCAGCGCGGGGAGACACGTCCCCACGCCAAGAACGCGCAACGTCGGAATCGCGTCCACGAGTCGATCTGGAAGCGCGTGGAGCATCCTGAGGCGGTCCACGTCGCTCTCCACAACGTCCGCAACCCAACGTAGCACTGGAACCCCTGGCGGGCAGAGCGGAATGTCGTACGCTCGCCACCACTCCATGCGTGGAGCGTCCAAGTGGAAGGAGTACAAGCGCAGTGAGCTGAGCGCGGTGGGGAGCGTGGCCTGTGCGCACATGCCGGGTTAGTTCGAGTGCGCGCATCGGTGAGCGACGGGGACGTACCGCGATGATCGCGTAGTTTGGACCTTGGCTCAAGTCGTAGGAAGTGAGGCGCAAATTCAAGGATCGCAGTGCCGTGTATCCCGTTCCCAAACCCTTCCAGAAGTTGCCGCCGGGATGCGTTTTGGATCCCTCGGGCAAGGGCATGACGAGATAAAGGGTGAGTGCACGCGTGAGTACATCTTGGATGAGCGTAATAAGGGCTTCATGCGCCATTTGGTCCGGACATAGGTTTTGCGAGGACACGGTGATCCTGTAGTCGGCGCCTACGTGTAATGGACGCGGAAACCGGTAGAGTCGACGATGCTGAGGTCGATCCAGCCTGGCAAATGGAGCTCTTGTAGCGAAGGCCACACAGGGGCATCGGAGGGATGGACGTGGACGCGTACGCGCAAGGGACGGGAAATTTGAAGGCTAGAGAGATGAGGGAAGTACTGAAGGCCACTCCACAGGAAAACGGAAGGGAGGGTTGATATAACCCTGAGACGCTGAAGACGGGGGAGCGGCGGGACAGGTGTGTCCAGATCTGATCCGGTGATCCAGGCTTCCCATCCCTCGAGGAGCTCTAGCGCACGTATTTCATGAGAGGCTGATAAAGAAGACAAGAGCTGAGTGATTGTGAATGTCTGGTCCGGTGCCTTTTTTGAGATGAAACGAAGCTTGAGGGTGCTGAGTTTGCCGGCGCGAATCGAGGAGAGCACCTGCAGGGTCCGCTTGCCAACATCCAAGAGAGTTAAATGGGTAAGTTGTAACATAGCCTTCAGCGCCGAGAAGGCCCGCTCGTCCGCCAAAAAATGCTATCCACTTCGGTAAGCTGCAGAGTGTGCAACTTCCGGGCGTTTAGAAGATGGCCGACGAGAATGGAGTACAGAGACCAGTCGATCCCGTTGAGGCTTAGTCTCCTCAGGAAACTGGATCTGTTGGTGTTGGAGTTTTGAAGGGTCCTTATGATCTTGGTGGACATCGGCCAGTACCCTTCCCGATCTGAGAATGCTAATGGATAGGCCAGAGTGTAGAACTGTGACGAGCAGAGAGCGGCATGGAAAGCATCTTTTCCTGATAGATAGGAAAGGGTTACTTTCAAGACGTCAACGTTGAGCTCGACGGGTGTCATGGCCAGAGCTGAAGCGTATGGTTCGTAGGCTAGAGCAACAGCGACTCCGAGATAATCAACGCAATAAGCGCCCAAACGTGCCCACGTGTCAAACAACCTGGACTCTCCGGTTCGAGTCCCGCTCTCCGTATCTTATTCTCGTCTCTTCCAACGGCACCATCCCTCTGTCTGTACAGACAGGCACCTTGGGGATGTGGATTGCGGGGGGCTATCTGTTGTTCGAATCTAAGAGACGTCGCCGATTGCGTGGGGGATTGTATCACCAGCAAACACACGCCTCTAGATCTGTCGTCTCCCACAGAACGTTGGAAAAACACGCGAATGTCCGTCGCCGTCGCAATTGGTCATAAGGCGAGCTCCCGGTCTGGTGATCCTGTCGCCCATGCACTCAACAAAGCGCAGATGTTATAGCCATATGCGCTCAGCGCCTACAAACGTACGTACACTGGCTGTTCAAGTCGCACGCCGCCATACTGCAACACCTTTTCACAAACCCTAGTTACATCCGGGAGCAGTCGAGCGGGAGCGACTCACTTTCGGGGCTAAAGTGAGGCACTGACAGGTCTCGAGTGGAAAACGCAGAGAATTTCTGTCACCTGGCAAATAGTATAAGAGGTCGTTCATACCGTTAGCCTGCCTCGTCGTACCCCAGCAGTGACCCAGTCTCTTCTCCATCGCATCCTCTTCACCATGAAATTTCTCGCCGCTCTACTCCTCCTCGCCGTCGCCGTCGCCCTCCCCGTCGAGGCGTGCAAGTGTCTCGGCAAGAAGGGCCACTTGAACACCGGCAACACGAAGACCTGCTGCAAGCAGCTCAACGGCGCGTTCCGCGACGGAAACGACTGCGAGGCCAGCACCATCTCGGAGCATCTCCGCGAGTTCAGGTCGTGCTGCGAGAGCCACAACAGCGCTACCTCCGACTGCGATTTTCCGCCTTAATTCAAGTCAACCACGCACCACTGGGTGAGTTTCTGGTGGTTTTATCCCGAAGTACTGGCTGACGGCGGGGTTGGTAGGTCGGGGTGCAGCGGGAGGGAAGTGGGGCTGTCGGGGATGTGTAGAGTCCGCCGTATGCATTCATAAACCCTGGTTGTGTTCTTGAGACGAGGATTAGTAGGCTGGGGAGCGTGCGGGAGCGGTTGCCGGGTTGGTTAAGTGTATGCACATGCACTCGAAACTGCGCGTCAGGCATCGGGATAGACTATCGACAATCGCAAATGATACTGTGACGTACTCAGTACGGCCTGATGTTGAGACATAGCGACCTCTCTCGGCAGGAACTATGCATCGTCCACCCAGTTTCGTGAGCCCGGTTCAAGTAGAACTAGACCATGTATGTTACGCCTACCATAGGGCTTCGCCCTCGAGGGCGTTAAACGAGGAAGACAAAAAAAAAAAACTATGCATCGTCGTCATCAGTGAGCTGATCTGCGGAGGTTGGAGGGAACATACCATCAAAGCTCGTACTCACGTCATAGCCGTCGCTCTTGACTAATTCTCGAACAGGTCCAAGTGGAAGTAGAAGAGTCGGAGATGGTCGAGTGTCGCGGGAAGCACGCAGAGAGCAAGATGCGGGTCCCGAAGGTGTGCACGGCGTCGTACAATGACACTTTGCCAGCGATGAGGTTGTCGTAGTCGAGGGCTCAGGTATAGCTTATGCGAGAACATCGAGATGACAAGGCGAACGTTGACTTGTTTGGCGTACGCTCCAACTTGGAGATTCCTGGGGAAAGTGGGGCCGTGCGAGTTGATTGGATCGGTACAGAGACGCTGGATGACGGTCGGACGTAGCCTACAAGACAGCCGGGCGATTGACGTTGGGGCTCGCGCCTTCGCGCAACATGTCCAGTCTCTCAAGACGAGAGCCATGCTATATATGCTGAAGCGCATATACGGAAGATGGGATGATGACAGTGAACACAGCTCCTGCCCCAACTGGTTCGAGTTTGTCACTGCGGTCACACCCGACAATGCCTTTCCCACGACGTGTCAGAGCCTGCAAGCGGCGCGGCCCCGACTGCAGGCCTGTTGGCTTCAACCTGACACCAGCTCTCCTCTTCTCCCTACGTCCCATGTAGCACTCAACTCCTAAAATGTGAGTGTTTTTAAGGGTCATCATAGCGAATTCAGAGCTGGTGTCAATCAGCTTGCACTCCACAGTTTGTTGAGACACCGAGCCCGACAGACTCCCGATGTCGGTCGGAGCTCCACGAGGGAAACCGCCGTCTCATGTGCGAGTTATATTTGCATCCGTTGAGGCCGCATAGGGAAACCGTGCTTCAAGAGCGTTCGGGGAAGCCTGAGGTCATAGCGCGTCTAGCGAGCGACCTTGTCCTCTTACCCCCACGTCCTGTTTCTCGTTGATACTTCGCGTTACTATGTCCCAGGTTTCTCGACGACCAGGTCTCTCCCAGATTTCCTTGATATTCGCGTACGTTTTTTCGACAAGATTTCTCGAGGGGAGTTCTGTGCTCACACTCTGACACCTCACCAGGTGCGGGACGGCCCTGTTTTCTGATGGTTAGCTGCTATGTCGATGCCTAGCCTCACGTAGACTAATTTCAGTGAACAACAGGCTACGCTAACGGTGTCATTGGTCTTAGTATGTGGTTTCTCCAAGTTGCCTTAACAATTTCGGCTGATTGTACTGTCGAGGCAGTCAATACTCGTACGTCTGCGTGTGGAGTACCTGTTTAGAAAGCTAACATTTCAGTGCCTTATTGCAGTGCTCCTGCGCATATATGGACCAGAGCAAGTCACTTCCAACTACAGCAGCACGATCCTCAGCGTCACGTTCGCGGGAACCATCTTCGGAATGCTCACATTCGGATACTTGTCAGACAGGCTGGGTAGGAAGTTTGGAATGGTGCGTCATTTCCGATCCCAACACCGCGCCGGGGCGATATGATATCCGCACATGCACAGATGACAGCGACGGGAATCGTCGCCTTCTTCTCCCTCCTCTCCGCCGCATCCAGCGGTGCACACCATAGCGTCCGCGGGCTACTCGACATGCTCTCTTTTTGCAGGTAAGTCATCGTCATAACAAAGTCCTGGTATCGTGATAGATTGTGTCACTCAGATTCTTCCTCGGGATTGGAGTCGGCGCGGAGTACCCATGCGGATCTGTTGCAGCCTCAGAGCAATCGGAGGAGCCTGGTATCGACAAGAACGCTCAACATCGATGGTTCGCTTTGGCTACGAGTACGTACCTCTTGGTTTCTTCATGCATTTGAGACACGAAGAGGCTGAAAATGGGTGCATACACCTTGCCCAGACACGATGATCGACTTCGGCTTCGTCATATCAGCAGTTGTTCCTCTCATCCTCGTCCTCATTTTCGGCGAGAATCACCTCCGGGCCGTATGGAGGATATCCCTTGGTCTTGGTTTTATTCCTGCTATGTGCGTGTTTTTGTGGCGTCTTCGTATGGAAGAGCCCGCGCGCTTCAAGAAGGACTCGATGAGGAACGCGAAGGTCCCATATATGCTCATTTTGAAGCGCTACTGGGCGAGCCTGGCCGCCATATCCGCGACGTGGTTCATTTACGACTTCATAACGTATGTTTTAGCTTCACCGTCATTGCATCGTTACTAAAAACAACCCATAAAGGTACCCCGTGAGCCCTCTTCGCTGAGGTCCTACTATCAAACGAGTTCTGACGTCCAGTCGTAGTTTGGGCTGTATAGTTCCACCGTTACGAACACGTAAGTCATTAGCTTCTCGGAGTTTCGGAATCAAGTTTCATAGGTCGATTGCCCAGTATTACAGGGTCGGACGCTACGCTTGTAGTCGTCTTTGGTTGGGCAGTGGTCATCAAGTGAGTTAGGTCTTACACTGGATCGAATTCCTTTTTGAAATCCATCCACAGCTTGTTCAACATCCCGGGAACCGTCATCGGCGCCTTCGTAGTCGACTTCCTCGGTCCCAAGTACACGATGGTACTCTCCACCCCACTTCTCTCGCTCACAATGGCTCACATCGACGTCGCTTCCAGATCACAGGCCTGCTTTGTCAAGCCACCATCGGCTTCATCATGAGCGGGCTCTACTCCAAGCTCGTCTCGCACATCGCAGCCTTCGCCGTAAGTAACTCTTCCCATCGCCTCCTTCCTCATCGCCACAAGCTGATTCGCACAATGCGACTCAGGTCGTCTACGGCGTGTTCTTGAGCTTCGGCGAGTTCGGCCCCGGAAACTGCCTCGGCATGCTCGCCGCCAAGTCCGGGCCCACCGCCGTCCGCGGCCAGTTCTACGGCATCGCCGCCGCGATGGGCAAGGTCGGCGCGTTCGCCGGGACGTGGGGTGCGCTCCTCGAACTCCTCTCGCTGTATCCAGTGCCCACCCTGACGCGCGCGCGACGGCCGGTCGACAGCGTTCCAGAGCATCGTGGACGCTTTCGCAAAGGCGCACCCGGACGACCCCACAATCGGCCAGACGGGCCCGTTCTGGATCGGCTCGGGACTCGCGGTCCTGAGCGCGGCGATCACGTTCTTCTTCGTCCGCCCGCTCTCGCACGACGGCATGGAGAGGGAGGATCGCGAGGTGGGTGCTCCGTTGTGCTCGGGGAAGTCCGTGGGCTGACGCTGTGTGCGTAGTTCCGCTCGTACCTCGAGGCGAACGGGTACGATACCACGCAGATGGGGCTGCGTGGGGAGACCGAGACCGTCGACTCGTCTGCTGGTGACGAGAAGCCGGAAGGCGCGTGATTCGTGAATGAGGGGTAAGGGAAGGATGTTTCTTGATGGCTCGCGCGAGAGGTGCAGAGTAAGAGATGTATTCAGGGGATGGTGGATACGAGTACATTGTGGATTAGCTACTGTTATACAGACGGCGAGTTCGACTATACAGAGTGGTGGTCGACGAGAGCAGAGGAAAGCGAGCATGGAAAAGAAGGGGGAGGAGGGGAAGGGAAGGGAGAGGGGAAGTGGTTGGATGATAGCAAGGGAAAATACAACGCATCGAGAGCAAGTTTAGGATAAGTTAGGAACATTGGTTTTGTCGCTTTGAGGGATCGCCTCGAGAAACGAAGGCAGGTCCTCAGTTTAGCGCAAAGCGCCGTCTTCTAGACGGCGTTGAAAGCTCGATACCAAGCGCGCGCCGAAGAGGACCTGCTCTTCGGGCCAGAGGGGGTCGTGTCGCGTGCCACAACCAGCCTAGTCTGGGCGGCGGCCGAGGTGTGTTCAGTAGAGGAAGCAGTCAGCATACGCGATGCCATTGGCGACCCCCCTGAACACAAGATGGTCGAAGTTGTACGAGGCGACGCGGGAGTCCCGTAGGGCGGTCCCGAGAGCTTCATAGACATCGGAGAGAGTGATGAAGCCTCCTCTGGAAGGTGCGACCTGCACCGACACGGGGCCAAGGCTGAGCACGAGCAGCGTGACGTGGTGGTTCACCGCACGCTGCGAAGCGATGCTCAGGCTCAAGTGTGCGCCACATCGAACATCGAATGTCGACCGAGAACTGAGCATGGGGTGGAGATCCGCGGGAAGCCTGCCGCTCATTTTCATAGGGCTATCGGGCGGAGTCAAGAGACCATCTATAAAGGACGCGAGGTTGAGAGTCAGCGAACTGTTGCGCCGGGGCGTGACAATAAATGGCCGAGGTCGCATATACGTACGGGGTGTCTGCGGCATCAAGTACGGCGCGTAGGCGTTGGCGCCGGACGGAGGCGCCGGTTTAGTGGTGTACGGGAGACTAACGGGCACCATCCGAGGGGCTGCTGGTAACACCGGAGAGGACCGAGAGGATGTGTTGGACGAGATGCTGCGGATTGAATCCGGCGAGTTCAGATACATCTTGATATACGAGAGGGGTGGGGGAGGCCTTGGAGGGCGGTGACAGTGGACGGGTCACACTTCGGAGGGTAGCGGGGGACGGCGGGATAGACGGCGGGGGAGGCTGCGGGGCGCAGTTGGGAGTCACATCGAGCTTGTCTGGG